ATTGTAATTTTAGCATCGCGTAAAGTGTACTGGGACTATGAAAGGATTCTTGAACAGTTTTTACTAGGGTCTAATTAACTGCAAAAACGTAAGACCAAGATACGTTTACAAGTAACCTAGCCAAAACCAAACAAGAAAACTCCAAAAGATTAAAATCACACTGATAAAGCCATCATCATTCCTAATTTATAAGAGCAAGTGACCTTAAAAGAAACTCGACGTTATAACTCTGAGTAAAATAAATTTAATAAAGATACAAGTCCCATAACTATCGATAAATTCTATCATTAAACAAGGAGCATCACTGGCTCGCACCTTGACTGCCATCTGCCGCGGTGCACGTGAAGTAATTAAGGCGCTCGGGGGTGGCACCCTCCTCGACCTGGTCGTTTACCTTTACGAGGGGTTGAAGCGGTCAATGTAATATGATGGTTTATTGCATTGTTCTTATATTTTAACCAAAAGACTATTTGACTCCAGGATTATTACGACTTAAAAAAAATAGAATGATTTGAAAGAATGGCATAATGCTTCAAAAGCCATACATTGACAAAGAGTGTGAAGTCTGAAATCAATTATGATATTCAAGTAACGAAACTAAACGTGTTCTTAAAAAATTAATTAATATTTGCAGTTTTTAAAATAATAAAAACTAATTTTATAAAAAATATGAATGTTTAGTCAGTACTTAATTCGGTCATCATATTATGAAAATCAAGACAGATATTTATCCTATATTTTCTTTTCTTTTTTATTTAATATTGATTAAAGATATATATTTTTTTATAGAATATGGGAGACAAACGAGTACCCAGTCCACCTGATAGTAAGCAGATGCTGTAGCCCATAGACATCTACACTTTTAAGAAATAAAATGGAGATGCGTTGTCCCCTGACTCTGAGGACTGAGATGGAGTGCCTCGTTTGCAGTAAAAGGTGTCTCCGATTCTCTACACTTACCATACGAAACATAGCAGCATTAAGCTGCTTTTTTACGCTGGTATTTTGTGGTCCTTCCCCGGTCGAGCCGTCCTATTCGTGCGACAACCATAATATAGCTGCAGTGTGCTCTAGCACGTATAATATACATATTCTATTCATTAAATATGAATGAACCTATTTTGGCCGGTGTACACATATAATAAACTAAATACGTGCGTGCGTATGACGCGTGCAGAACGTGTGGTTGGGAAACAAATTAAAAATATAAAAAGGTCACACTAACACCGGTTGTGTTCAAGTCGCGCACCGCGTCTGAACCTAAGTACCTATTTTTCATAGTTTCATATTATTATATGTTATTCTTTATTATAATCAAGAATTTGGTATGTTTTGACCAGTGTTGCCATTGCTATGGCAATTGCTGTTATGTACGGCAAATTGAGTAAATATTTCTAAATATTTACAGCTCACGCCAATGGAGACATAGCAGAATTTAGTTACATGATTTTGACAGTAGAATTCAGAACGAAATTAACAATATAAAATCGATTCGATGAAAAATGGAAACCCTGTGCCAACCCGTGCGCAATGAAGTGGACGACAGCCGTATCCTCTGTCTTCGATTACATTCTTGGATAATATCAAGAAAAGTATTGTAAAAACGAAAAAGGATTCACAAAATACTACTTCAACAACATGGCTATCATCTATACCATTTTCCACCCATCCATCCAAGAACTTGGGACTAAAGATTGCTGTGTTCAATGTAAATTTTTGTTAATGGCATTATTGGCCGGTATTCGGTTTCTTCTTTCATTTATTTTTAGAGTTGGGCCGATTAGTACTTTGGCCGATTAGCCGATTAATCGGTTAAGAAACATTTCTCATTAACAATCTTTATTCAAGAATTAAGTGCTTTATTTTTGTTATGCAAAGGGAGAGACTTAAAATTTGTTTCTTTTTTGAGTTTATTAAGAATAACATTATTAATACTTTATTTTGTTGTGTGTACTCCGCATTACGATTAGGAAAAGTTAAAAAGTAGAATGAAAATAGTAGGTACTCAGGTTTTTGTTTAGTTTTAAATAGCTACCTCAATTTCTTTTTTTACCAAAGTTCCTATGTCCAGAATAATTAACATTAAAACATGTGAGACTGATTTTTCAATAAAAGTTATGTATGAACCTAACCTAACCTAAATCTGTCATGATTTTACGCATGGGAAAGAAACTATTCATATCAATGTAGCCGCACTTACCACGCAGAAAATCACGAAAAATCTTTGCTGAAATTAATAAAATAAAAAGCCTAAAGAGTCGTTTCGGCGGTTTTAGCCGATTAATCGCCGACTAATCGGTGACTACAAATAGGCCGATTAATCGGCTTCACCGATTAGTCGGCGGCTAATCGGCCCAACTCTATTTATTTTTCTTTTCATGCTACACAGCAATATTAAGGACCTATGCTCCATAAAAACAGCAATTTCGCTCACTGAACACGGCACCGCACCACTGGTTTAATCAAAATTAAATGATTGCTTAAATAATATGGGTTATATATTATATACCATAGTATATAGGCTATGTAATTACGTAACGTCCTCAGATGTGATATTAATTTGTTAGTCGGTTATTTTATTCAAATTCCTTATCGTCCGTTCACTTATACTGTTTTTATTACCTTATGACTGCTGGTAGATTAAGTAGTTCTGGGTCAGAGTGTAACCACTACGCACAGAAAATGCGTGCCGAATTGTTCTATTCCCCATACGTACCTAAGTCCAAAAACTTGAATTGAGAGAGCAATAGTCCTGAATTACAATCGGGCGTGAAAAGTCAAGCCATCAGCGTCGGCGAAATTCAGTCGATGGCCATGTCACGTTGTGTCCACAGTAAAGTTCACAACCCTAACAACCTAACATCAGCATTCAAATCCAACTGGCTTACTTACTAGAGAATACAAAACAAGCCCTTTCGCACCGAACCGAACCACTCTGGTTTTTACTCTGTGTAAGTATTATTATATACATAACACAAAATGATCTTCACCAGAAATCGACTACAAAAAGTTTAAATGCTTTAAGGTACATACATAAAAACAAATGTAAAAAGGTACCTACGTAAAGCACTTATCTCACACACGCTTAGAAACACGTGAAATCTCTAGTGTGAATATAACATTAGGTACAGTATATTATCTAGTATACACTCAAGTAGTTATTCAACGCAAGACCTTGAAGGCGATTCAAGGTCTCGAAAAGCACGCAGGATAATCTTGCGAGTTCAAGGTTGCTTGATGTCGAATCGTTTGAATTTTGCGAATTGTAAATCATATGGCTACAGTACCTACTCATCGCTTTTGGAATGTAAATAGAAATACTAAAAAAGAGTTTGCAACCTCTAAAATGACTAAAGAGAAAAAATTGACTAGTATGTACCCACTCAAGATACCACGCCACCCGTTAAAAAAATTGATCACTACATCAATCAGCGGGGTGTTGCCTAGGTGGAGATCTAGTGTACAAATATGTGGATGGTAGAGTGATCTAAATCTTTTTTACATGGACCTTAGAAAATTTACTTTGCTTCTCATCTCAAAGATAAAACATTAATTAATATTGCAAACCTGTTACAGCTATTACAGCTCAAAACATTAAGTTTAAGATAAAACTATTTCGGTGAGGTTTTAACCATAAGAAACACCAACAATCAGGAGATGCAGTCAATGTGTAGACCTTAGAAAATTTATTTTGCTTCTCATCTCAAAGATAAAACATTAATTAATATTGCTAATCTGTTACAGCTCAAAACATTAAGTTTACTTTAAGATAAAACTTTAACCGTAAGAAACACCAACAATGTGTAGACCTTAGGAAATTTACTTTGCTTCTCATCCCAAAGATAAAACATTAATTAATATTGCATATCTGTTACAGCTATTACAGCTCAAAACATTAAGTTTAAGATAAAACCATTTTGGTGAGGTTTTAACCGTAAGAAACACCAGCAATGAGGAGATGCAGTCAATGTGTAGTCGTACCTACTATTGCGACAAATGTCGAAAAATAACCAAATAAAATAAACTAGGTATTATAAATATTAATTAACACACGTTGCAAGTTGAGAGTAGCCATGATTATTAAAGTACTCTTTCATTGTTTATAATTAAAAGCTAAGAAGAAATATTTAAAAATGTGTTTCATTATAGCTCATGACTTGTCTGACTCGTATTTACAAGCCTACTTTTTATTATTGTCTTACGTATTCTACATCTGTCTTACGTACTCTTTATGGAAATATATGAAATTAAAAAAAAAAATGAAGTTCTCAGTTTTAAGATTCACGTTCTTATGTTGTATGTACTAACTACCTAATTTCTCCTATCGCAAAATTGAAACAAACTTTATGTAGGTAGGTACTTAGGTACGTTGCGATAATATAGCCTCCACGTAAAATATTAGTTTGCCGTTTTTTTTTAATAATCCTCCTACCTTCTTTTTAACTATTATTTTCCAGTGCTTCATTCGGTTGGTAATTGTTGATGTAGCCGATGGTAAAACGCACAGACTTTGCTTACCAAAATCCTTTCACTCTTACCTTGCAAAACATCTACATGGTAATCAGATGGAAAGACCTATGCTGGAAAAAAATACCACTCAGACGAAAGGCGGAGCAAACCTCTTGTTTCGAATGATGGTAATGGTATGTCGACAATAAAGCAGTTATCCAATGGTGAAAGGGAAGCAAAAATTTACGTCGAGCAATTCCCGCGCCCTCTCAGACCTTCGAATGTATCCTGCATTAATACCGAACTTTACGCCCGTGCTTCTAGACTGGCAAGATTGACTTTAATTAAGGTTGGATTCAGGTCATCAATTAGCATCTCAGCACGCTTTTTACATAGTCCAAAGCTGTTAAGTACCATTGCGGCACTTTTTAAAATTTAAAGTAAGTTTATATATACTCTTATATATTACCTTAAGATACCACCATTAAGAATGCCTTATGGATATTACATTACATACTAATAATATGTAATTAACAATATACAAGACTCACTTTCGTCGGCGGCCGGCGTTTGAGCTGTTACTTTCAATTGGGAAATTGAAGGATTCGCCAAAAATCCGATATTGCAAGTCGTCCTCCTCATTACTTTGATATTGCATTGCTTACACACTTAATACGGGGCGTTGCGACGAAATGAACCACCCTTATCATTTGATCTTAGAATCATCGTCACCAATCATGCTAAACATTTTCACTTTCGGCGAAACAATTGTAACAATACATTACATGAAATAATTTATCAATACCGCCAAATAAGTTCAGACAGACAACAGATTATAAAAATTTTATTTCTTCAGTTCGCTTTGGCAGTGGACGCGACGAATCACGGCTGCAACGCGCGCGGAGCCGGACCCGGGCTGACTGAGCTGACTGAACAGAACTGAATGAACAATGAACTGAACGAAACCGGCGGAACGTGGCTATGCTTTGTAGCCGTAGCCATAGTACAAACAGAATAGTAGGCTACCTTCTAAGAAATGTACTGAACGCCGCTAATATTATGTGTGCCTGGCTGGTGACAATACGGGCCATAGATAACTACATATATAGGGACGCACGGACTCGTACGCACGAGCCACAGCACGCACACAATGACATTTTCTAAGTCGGGAAGATCGGATTGAGTCGGGGACGCTCACCGCCGCGCTCCACAATCACCTTTGTTTGCGACTTTGTTGACTTTTAATAAAATTTTGCTAGCAGTCTTTTATCGTTTTATTTTCTCTTTTTGTAAAATAAATTAATATATGCGTTTATTTAAGTAAAGTAACGTTTTATTCATAAGTTATATTACTATATCTATACACACCTCATAAGTACATTATCATTTATCATATCACACCAGATTAAATGAATTTAAAACATTAAATCTGAGCTGACACGTATGTTCAGTGTTAATTTACTCGTATTTGTTACAACAAAAAGCTAAAAGCAAAAAAAAAAGCTAAAGCGGGCTACATACGACACGATATCGGTGGCGATCTAGGGTGGAGTAGTGGGGATGCCTCCTAGATTGCCTCTAAATCGTGTCGTATGTAGGGCCATCCTAAGTCGTGGCCGATATCGCCTCCTTAATCGGCTGGCAGGAGCAAAAATGCTTCCTAGATCAGCCGATGCTTCCTAGATCGGGGCACCGCCCCCTCCTTACTGCGTGTGTGTAGGCGCATCGGCCCGATTTCTTTTGGCAGTCGCTGCCGGCAACCCTCGCGGAAAGAAGTTAACAAAACAGTGATACTGAATGACCTTTTTTATATAACATAATTTTTACATTTTAATCATATAAACGGAGTAGAAGCCTATGGCACTGATATTTTACAAAAAACAAAAAAAAGTGAATAAAATAAATAAATAAATTGAAATTTTATCGAAATTCAAATCATATCCACCCTAGCCTGTGACCCTGCGAAGTGATATGGTCAAGAATGCCTACTAAACTAATTTTTTTATTGCCGTTCGTAAAGTAGAGTGTATGATGTAAGTAAGGAGAAGATAGCCTCTCCTCAACAACTAACTCCTATTCCAACGCTATCAACACAAGATCGCACTCATATCTCTTACAACTCCACAAGACCACACTTCGATCTCTTACGTGCCTTCATCCTCTTATCAACAACTAAATTCTACTCCTTCACCATCTCCACATCAACAAACAAGTTATATAAAAGGGAGTATGTCCGAAATTAAAGGTTTCTTTATGTTTAAAAAAAGGTATAAGCTATTTTATTTTCTGATAGTTTTACTCCATAAATAAAGATTACATTAAAAAAAAGTATACATATTATTATACAAAAGTATTTTATTTCCTTGTTTGTTGTGTGTAATACATAACCAGATTTAGACCAAAGCAGAAATGAACAAAGAGAAGAAATAACTAAATAGCATAGGTAGGAGAAATTGACGTTTTTATATAAGTGGCGAAATCATTTCTAGAAGGTTATAAAAACTGTCTTCATCCATCCGGAGAAAATTAATCACGTCCTTGGATTACAGGCCATTTAGTACGTTTATGTGGCTTAATTTTTATCTCTTTTGGAGCCATTTTTTCACCCAGCAACTTCTCTTTTTCTATTTTCGAATAAATTAACCGAGATGGCTAATGCCAAACCAACACGGTGGTGTTTTAAGAGAGTCGGAGGTATTTTGAAGAACTCTACCGCATATGCATTCCGCTCCAAGTCCGAACGCGTACTGCTAGGCAGGCCCGTGTGTAAGGTCTACCCTGATAAAAGCCCAGATTTCTTTCCACCCTAGATCGCCACCGATATCGTGTCGTATGTAGCCCGCTTAAGTCTAGAATTTTTTTTGACAAACATTGATTCTTGAGAGGAAACTAAAGAAATGATTAACAAATGTGATGCATAGGTACGTATCCGTATGTATTATGTTTGTAAATGTTATAACTACATACTTATAAAACTAAATGAGACTTGGCTGTTAACAAAAAGACAACGACAACCCTGTAACAGTACGCATTTACGTCTCGCGCGGCGCGGGAGTAATCCCACTATTATGTTTTTACTATGCCGTAGCCGGCTAGCCGTGAGCGCGGGAGCCAAGCCAACACAACACGCATGTTTATCCCTCCCTCCCCTTCTCGCCCAAGACTATGTCGACCGACCGATAAACAATATGAAATTGCCTCAGGGAATTATATACGCGATGTTTAGCCTTCACTATCAGAATTAGAAGAATTTGTCTTTCAGTGTACTAAAAAATAATTATTTTAAATTATGTATTTCATTCAAATCTTGAACAAGATGAAATTTATAGACATATTGTTATAATAGGCTTAGGTATATGGTTGCCACAAAGGGTTGCCACCGGCACATTTTTAAAAACGTTACGCGTTATTTCGAGGAAACGTATTTTATACTTTTTGAAAGTATAAAGTACAAAGTTATATATACTCGTATATAAGTTATATATAAAATATAAAGTTAAACGAAGTGTAGGGCGGCTCCCCATTAGATGGAGTGACGACCTGTGCTCTGTTTATCAAAATTTACAAGCCTTGTATTACAAGCAATTTTCCTGTAAAAAAATTAATTATTACAAATATGTGTTTATCAAAACTGCACGTGTAAATTACAAGTTACAAGGGTCATTATTTGTTTCACAAGTATATTTTTAGACTTGTATTTGTGATTTTGTTTAACAAAAGTACCTTGTAAGTTACAATTTGTAGAAAATCATAGCAAATCCAAGAGTATCCACGAGTCTAGTTTAATAAAAAAAAAATTGTAAAATCGTTATTTTATTATCATTTCTAGACGTTTTACAATATCGCCGCGAAGAATACACTTCAAATTATATATAAAAGGCGGAAATACTTTGTCGCTCCTACCTGTGCTACTACTTTTTTTAATGTCCCATCAAAATTAGGCACAGACGATATACCATACAGCCATGCGTTTATATAAGGATATTCAATAAAAAGCAAAACCATAATGGCAGGAAAAGAATGCGGCACACATTTTTGATTTTAGAACTTACAAGTAGAACCTACAAGTGTCAAATTTTACAAGCCCTGTAGATTTTTTGATAAACGGAATTTACTCGAACTTGAAAAAACTTTCTTGTAAAGTGTAACTTGTGAGTTTTGATAAACAGGGCACTGGTAAGATACGCAGGAAGTGGAAGGATGCGGGTAGCTCAGAATCGTGCTTTGTGGTATACCTTGGGGAAGCCTATGTTAGACAGTGGACTTGTGAAGGGCTGTAATGAGTCTAAAATGAATTACATAGAAACAAGTGGTAATTAAAAATGTTGTACAACTGACTTCAATATAAATAAAATGAGAACATCATCTATGTAATCCAAGTCAGTTAAATACGCTATATTAAAGATAACTTAAAAACAACTTGTCAGATCTTGATCAAATTTTATGGGACCACATGAGAAACACCAGATTTCAAATAAAAAAAAAGAATTATCAAAATCGGTTCACCTAGAAAAAGTTTTGAGGTACCTAACACACATTAAAAAATATAGTCGAATTGAGAACCTTTCCTTTTTTCCTTTTTTGAAGTCGGTTGACAATACTGTTAAAGTAATAAAAATAACAAGTAGGTATTTTGATAGATGTTGCTAAGAGATTTAACTAAAAAATGTACCTAAATATACTTCATTGGCTCAAAAAAGGTAGCAACCTTATCACATTCTTAAAATGTAAGTATCTTTTTAAAAGGAATTTTGTAATATCTATATAAACGTGATTTAACTGGTTTGTAAGTAGGTACATACTAATAATGTACTCCGGTAGATAGGTTATCTAACCTTTTTTTTCCAAAACATGTGCTCAAGTTTTAAGTTTTATAGATTCTCATGCCCAATATTTAATCAATATAATATCAGGTTTTTCAAGTTACATTGGAATACAGATCGAGTAATCTTTATAATGACATCAGCGCACGCCGTCTTGCGTCTGGCGGTGTTTCGACCATACACCGGAAAGACCACTTCCAGGTTTAAGATAAGACTGTTCATTTTTATTTTAGAACGCTAAATAAGTATTTGTGTCAATAAGAACAAACTTTAATATAAAGTATAGTGTTATTTTCAAGTATATTGTTATTTTCACCATTGTGTTGTATTCGTAATAGCAGACTTCAAAAAAAACTTTTGCTAAGTGGCCAAAGATGCGTGTGGTCTGGCGTTATCGTGATGAAAGACATACAGACTACTTTTCTGTAGACCAATTTATTGCTTGAGTCTCATTGTTTTTGGCAGTAGAGATCCAAAGCCATAGTTTTTTGTTATAGTTTTTTTGCCCGGCGATAAAAGTCCATAATAAACGATGCACATACAGAATCACCTCATTGCGTGTTAATCCGGGTTTCGCTAGTATGTGGAGCTTAACTAAAACTTGATAAATTAGTACACGATTCATTAGGTTTCTTTCGATGAGCTCGTGTGGTACCCGAATATCGAGTTTTTTTTTTTGTATAGTCACACTTTTCAAATGTGTGTGTTGTAATAATAATGAATTAAATTATTAAATTATATTATATAATATTAAATATTTTATTATTATTATTACTAATGTGGCGACCTTGCTGCACTTTTAAATGTCATCGATTTTATCCGTATGAGGGCGACC